GGGACTCCTTCTGGATAACAAAGAGCAGGGGTCAGTTGATCATGTGATCAACTGGAGCAATTGCAGGGGAGCAATCATATTCCAAGGGATTAGAGGAAGGGGCCTTCTGACTGGGCTTTCCCATCTCACTGAGATTGGTCACCTCTTCTGTGGGAGGACTTGAGCCTTTCAGGTCAGGGGGAATCTAGCTGATGCAGGGACTCAGACAGTCCCTGGGACATTCAGAAACAGACATAGATGATGACGATGACGTCAGTCAACAAATGCGTTTTGAACACCTACTATGGGCCAGGCATTCATTATGCTCAATGAATACAATGGAGATAAAGTATACAGCAATAGCAAGGAAAGGAAGAGAATTTCCACCTGTGCAATGGGAGGAAGGAGTGAAAGAGAACGTGGCTAGCAGTTTGGTGTTGCTGCAGCAACTCCAAAGGTAAGGAATGGAGGAGGATGAAGCACAAGGGCTTTGAATGACAGAGTAAGGAACCAAGCCTTTATTTCAAGGATAAGGGCAGAGGGCACATGGAAGCAGAGAGGTTATATGCTCAGATTTGCTTTTATGAAGATCATTCAGCTTGCAATGTGAAGGAAAGATTGGAGGAGGGAGTTGGGGCCAAGGAGATGAGTTGTAAGGATGATAAATCCTGAGTTAGGATAGTGGTAGCAGGAAGAAGGAAAGGGGAGAGATTTGAAAGATGTTAAGACGTAAGGCAGAGATGGCTATTTGTCCCTGCCCCCTCAACATCTGTTCTCCCCTTCTTCTATGGTAATGGAAGCCCCAGTTTTCATCTGGGCACATGGCCATACAGAATAAAAACTTCATTTCCTAGTCATCCTTATGTCTGTATATAGCTATGTGACTAAGTTCTTTTAACCTGTAGGATGTGGTGTAATGCCCTTAAAGGAATAGAGTTGGGGTAGTTGGCTATGTTGGATCATGTAGATGTTGGCAACATCCTAGGGATAGCGGAGACATGAGCCTGAGCCCCTGACTAATTCATGGAGCAGAGTAAAAGTCCAGTTTTTACATAGGACAGAAATAAACTTATTTCACTTAAGACTGTGTTTACTCTGGGTTCCTGTTACAGCTGCCAAATCTCCATCCTAACACAAAGTGGTAAAAGTCATAGGTGATGGCTAAGATGTAGGGACTACAGGAGATGCAGAGAGGGAGAGGAAGCTGCCGAGTCTTTTGTTACACCTAAGGCAGTGTTTCTTTCTTGAAAATGGCCTTTTGACCACCTGCAGTGTAATCACTCTGGATGGGGCCCAGGAATCTGTGCAAGTAGCTTGGTGATTTACAGGGACCTGGGCTTCGGCAATCCCTTCCAGCAGCCCCCCAGGCTGGCTCTGCTGGAGCTGGGAGGTTTCAGGTCTGCCTGCCTTCCTCAGGTGTCTCCATGGTGACCCGACCTCCGGGCAGCCCCCAGAGCAGCCTACTTCTATCAGTAGTTCAGTGTCGGCCTCTGCCTTCAGATTTGGGACTGAAGACAGGCTCTGTCATGTTAAGTCAGGTCACTATCATTTCTTACCTGGATCCCACAAGGCCCTGAATGATCCTGGCTCCAGGCAGCACTGGCTCCATCATATCAAGTATCTTCCTTCCTTAGGGACTTTGCCTGAGCCACTCGGTCTGCTTAGGACCTCCCAACTTCTTTCCCTTAATGCTTATTAAAATTTTAGCGCTCAGCTTAAATGTCATGCCTTAGGGAAGCCTTCTCTGAACTCCAGAATAGGTCCAGTGCCACTTCTATATATGCTCATGGCTCCTTGTACTTCTTCCTGGGGCTTATCATAATTGTAACTACATAACACTTGGTGTCATTATTTGTTTAATGTTTGTCTTTCCCACTATTCTCTAGGCGTCATGACAGTTGGGAACATGCAGGTTCTGTTCACTGCTGTATCCCTGGGACCTAGTGCAGAACTTGACAAATAAGCAATGCTCAAGAAAGATTTCTTGATGAATGAAGGTCTCTTCCAACCAGTTTTCCAGGAAGGCCTCTCATAATCACACTCTCCTCCCTCCACAGTCCAGCCCAGCTCAGAGAAGTAAATAAGCAATTAGGATGAGACCTCCCTTTCTCTGAGGACCTGGGACCAGTTGATGTTGAATGAGAACCACGTGAGGGTAAAAGGAGAGCCCAGCAAAAGACAAAGGCCTTTTTCATATCCGCAGCCAGAAATGACCCCCTCCCCAAACTCCTAACTAGGGGTCTCTGGCTTATTAATGTACTCTACACTAATAGCAGATAGCTAAGGGATCAGAAATAAGATTTAAGCAGACAGCTAAAATATTGATTAATAATTAAGGCTTGGCAAATAGCTAAACTAAGATATAACCTAATGAAGTATTTGGCTTATAAGTAAAGTGTTAGAAAATAATTAAGGTGTTAATAGAAAAGGAAATATTAACTACTCAAGTGTTAGCCGACAACCAAAGGATTAATTTAAAACTAAGTTGTTAGCAGATACTGGTTAAACAATGACTAAGGTAACAGCTTATAAGGATTTAAAGTGAGATTGTTCCTAGGGGACTCTTGTGCGTGAGAAGGGCCCTGGGGCCAGCAGAAAGCTGATAAAGCCTATAGGAATAAAGGAGTGCAAAATCCTCAGCTGTACTCTAAACTGCTGGGGAAAACTGTTTGCTCGTCTTTGGTTTCCAGATGGGGTCTCTTCAGGGACAGCACGGAGCTGGTGCTCAAACTGCTTACCATATAATTAAATTTAATCTGCTAAGGGCTAGGCACGGTGCTGAGGAGAGAAGGGAGGGCAGTTGCTTAAACCATGAGAATAGTGTGGCGAGTGAGCGAGGGAATGGTGTGTGAAAGGAAAGGCTTGGGGCTTTTGTGAAGGCTGGGTGGAAGGGAGAACAGGTGTGTCAGTGAGAGATGCTGAGTTTAGTTCTGGACACTGTGAATTGAGGTGTCTGTAGACATGCCCAGTAGGCAGGTGGATATGAGTCAGTGTGGATTTGGGCGTCATCAGAGTGTAGATAGTGGTTGAAACGATGAGAAAAAATGAGATGACGGAAGAAGACAGTATGGAGGGAGCAAAGGGACCAGCCTAGAACCCTAAGGAAGACCAACAGGGAAGGAGTGAGCAGAGGAGGAAGAGACATCAACAGACATTGAGAAGGAAGGAGCACTCAGAGACACGGGGGCAAACCAAGAGAAAATGGGGGCATGAAAGCTAAGGGAAGAGAGTGAGTCAGGGAGAAGAGTGTAGTCAGCAGTGTCAGATGTGGCTGACAGGTCAAGGAGGATAAAGTCACAGAGATGTCCATTGAGAGTATGGTTCTGAGATGTCCGCCACAAAAATTTCTGTGATAGCTGGGTTTGGGGGGGAGGAATGTGTGCATACGCCCGCGCAGGTGCACACATGAGCATATGCAGAGCTGGAGCTTGGAGCAGGGTGTGCAAGGGCAGGCTGGAGCCCACTACAGGGGAGCTTATGGTCAGCCCACAGAGAACCTTCATTTACTCTTGGCAGCTTTTGAGAAGGACAATTAAGGCAGACTGCAAGAACTGTAAGCACAGTTGAACTCTTTCGTTGTCCAGTGGGAAAATGGAGGACAGCAGAAAGGGACAATTTGCTTAGTTTGTGAGTCAAGGGCACAGCCGGGACCTGAATCTGAGTCTCCTTCTTCCAGAAGAGTGACCTTGAAAGAGCAGACATGAAATTCTTATTGGCCAATGAATTAGTGATCAATGACTTTGCCCATAACCTCAGTTTTTACCTGCCTCTTTTTATATTTATATAAAAGTGAAACATATATTTTATATACAAAATTCAAACATTTCAGAAATACTTAACAAAGAAAGTGAATGACTCCTGTTATCCCACCCCACCCCTCATGGACAGCCACCATTAATAGTTTGGTCTATATTCCTCTCCCCCTCCCTTAACATTGTACATTTTTAATAAAAATATTATACTTATTTATACTGGATTTTTTGTGAGTGTGCCTGTGTTCATTCTGTTTTACAACTTGCCCTTTTTCACTTTTGGACGATTTTCTCTGGTAGCATAGAGAAATCGTATTCATTCATTTTAATAACTGCAGTAGTGTATCATTTGGATCTGTACCATAATTTATTACCAGGCCATATTGATGAGCACAAGAGTTGCATCCAATTTTCACCATTACAAACAGTCTACATACATATTATTGTACATATATATTTGCACAGTTTGGGAGTCTTCTAGTAGGAGAAATGACGGATCAAAGGGTATGAACATTTGTTTTAAAAGATATTGCCAAATCACCCTCCAAAAACTTGTGCCAGTTTCTTGTCCCACCAACAGTTTATGCAAAAGCCCATTTCCCCACATCCTTACCAACAATGGGTATTATCATTTAAAAAATCTTTCCAACTGGAACGAGGCTGAACATCTTTTCATATCCTTATTAGCCATCTATAGTCTTCTGTGAATTATCTATTCATATCCTTTGCCATTTTCTATTGTAGTGTACTTTTGGTCAGTAAATTATTTTTGGGGAATAATGATTAGCTTGATTAAAAAAGGCTTGGGGGGGGGCGAGCCTGGTGGCACAGCAGTTAAGTTCGTATGATCCACTTTGGCGGCCCGGGCTTCTCCGGTTCGGATCCCGGGTGCGGACATGGCACCGCTTGTCAAGCCATGCTGTGGCAGGCGTCCCACATATAAAGTAGAGGAAGATGGGCACGGACGTTAGCTCAGGGCCAGTCTTCCTCAGCAAAAAAGAGGAGGATTGGCAGCAGATGTTAGCTCAGGGCTAATCTTTTTCAAAAACATACACCACACACACAAAAAAAGGCATAGAAGGCTTTGTACCAAATTGACAATTGTGTTTACCCCCAGGGAGTGAGAGTATAGAAAATGAGGGGGATATTTTCATTTTCATTTTAGAGCATCCTGTATTATCTTACAATGTATTTGCATTATTTTTGTAATTAAAAACATAATACACAGGAAAAGAACAACAACAAATAAATGTTTGGCCTGGATTCTCATTGGTTGGAAATTATGTGGGTGCAAGTTTTTATTGATCACAAGTTATTTTTTGTTTTATATGCAAAAAAAACATTTATTGAATGTCTCCTATTGAGCTGGCACTGCCCCAGACATATTCATAAGTCTTTCGTCCTAATCCTCACAGCAGCCCTGTGAGGTAGGAATTGGCCCCATTTTACAGAGTTCTTAACAGGTAGTAGATTATTGCTTGATACACTTCTATTTGCCACATGTTTTCATGGGCTAGAGGTTCCTATTGGCTGGTGATTCACGAGTCAAGAGCTCTCAGTGGCCAGGGGCTCCTATTGGTTGCTCTAAGATTCAAATCATCAAAATACTAGAATTTTTCCCTCACAGGAGTGGTGGGGTAGGTGGGATAAGAATGGAGGAAGGAGTCAATGGACTCTCCCTTTGAAGCACCATTTGAGTTTGCTTTGGTCACCCATGCAAGATGGGGGTAAGGGGACAGTGGGAGAAGAGGGAACGTGGTTACAAGTCTTCTCGCTTCTTCAGGATGAGCTTCCTCACAAGTTCTGTGATATGGGGTCTGATCTCCTCCACCGACACGGTTGGATCCCAAGCCCCTACAACCTTCCCATCTGGGGCCACTAGGTACTTCCAGAAGTTCCAGGTGGGCTCCTTCCCAGAAGTCTCTAGAGCAAAAGGAAGAAGGAGAGCCGCTACTTCCTTACACTGCTTCCCTGCACACCCTCTCCTGGAACTCCACTCTCAGTGTCCACCCTTCCGTGGAAGCAGGGGTTCCATTCGAATTAACTGGCGAGCTTTTCAAAATCCTCATGCCCAGTCCACACCCCAGACCACTTAAATCAGAATCTCTGGGGGTAAGACTCAGGCATCAGTATTTTTGAAAAGCTCTCCAGGAGATTCCAGTGTGGTGCCAAGGTTGAGAACTACTGCTTTAGGATTCTGTGAAGTGCTTGATAAAGCATATCAGATCTTCCTTTATTAGCGACTTCAAACTAGAGCACAGGCTACACCCTATTCTCTAATGAAACCTTAATGGTTTCCAAACGTTAGTCCATGGACTGGTTGCATCTGAATCACGATGGTGGTGGTGGTCGGGTGCTTAAAATAAACAGATTCTTGGGCCCTGCTTCAGTAGGTCTCAGGCTAATGCATTTTTAAGAGCTCCCCAGGTGCTTCTAAAGCACGGCCAGGTTTGATCTATAACTATGGGAACTGGGGAGGAACGAATAAAAACACACAGGAAGAAAAAGCAAACATTAGGATTGACCCCCAGAGCAAAATTCAAATCTGCCTCAGTAAAGGATCTTTTGTTTGTTACGTTGTTGTTTTTTCATTTACTCCTCCAAGAGTGAATGGGTTGCCCCGGAGGTGAGGGATATGAAGGCAACCAGAAGCAGAGACTAAGAGAAGGCAAAAATGGAGCCCCCAAAGGCGGAGAAAGGCCTGAGGGAGGAAACAGAACCACAATGACAAGCTTGGCTCAGCACCCTATTTTGAGGCTCTGAGGCTTCTTGGGCTGGAGGAGGGATCTATTTCTGAAATATTAAGATCTAGTATGTTAGCTCAGAAGGTTTCCCGCCTGTGGTCTACAGACTGCCTCTGACTCAGGCCAGGAGATGCCTGTCAGCCTTCTCCAGGCATGTGGCATCCCCTGTCTGCCTTGGTTTTTCCACCCTAAGTCCATAAGCTCAACTAACTCACATTGACTAAAATCTGAGGGCCCAGTCTCCTTCTAGGAGCGCCTGCATTTGAAAACAGGATCTCAGCGAAGTCTGCGAGAAGGACTCTGAGGGAGAACCGCAAGGCAGCAGGGCTAGAGACATTCTTAGGCAGGAATACCCCTCCTCCCCAAAGATTAGTGCTGGAACAGAGCATCAGTCCATGCAGGGATCCGGAAGGGGCCCCAGGTCACCCGACCAGCCAATGGCTTCTACTGCCCAGGGAGGCACGGCCTCACCCACCTGAGGGAAAAGATCAAGACTCACGGGTCAGGTACTTGAAGGCAGGGTGGGCTCCAGTGCCGACGACTGCGATCTTGCTAAACATGGGGAAAGAGACGCTATAGGTGCGGCGGGCAAAGCTCTCGATCTCCTTGTTGCTGTCAGGCTCCTGCTGGCCAAACTGGTTGCAGGGGAAGGCAAGCACGTTGAAGTGGTGGGGCCCCAGGTCCCGTTGCAGCTGCTGCAGGGCTCGGTAGTGCTGGTCTGTGAAGCCGCACTCGCTAGCCACGTTCACCACCAGGGAGACCTGGGTGGCAAAAACAAAACTCAGACAGACACGCAACACAGTGAAGGGGCATGCACTTGCACATGTCTGGACACGCCCACATGTGTGACCCTCAGCAATTAAGGCTCTCTCTCATACATACACGAAGACCATGTACACATATGTAAACGTGTGCAATGCTCTCACATATACACAAACACACGCACACAGGCACAGATGAAATCAAACATGCAGGGGCTTACAGATATGTGTGCAAACACATACATGAACATTCATGAGAATAAGCACACAGTATTCATAAATGGGTATGAACACACCCCATGAGACAACGGTACATTAGCACACCTCACACATGCCCACAAACACACACGACACATTCACAGAGAGAGGCACATAGAGAGAGCGGTTCATACAGGAGGTGATGTGAGGGAGGGGAATGGCAGACCTGGGTTCAGTTTCTGACTCAGTCGCTCTACACTGTAGCTGCCTGTACACGTGTAGATCTCCCTTCTAGAACACGAACCCACTGAGGGCAGGTGTCCACTTCACCCCTGGGTCTGATGTATAGAAGAGTCTCAGAAAGTATCTGCTGAATGAATAAGTAAGTGTGCACACATGTGTGCTCCAGCCCTGGAGACATACAGCCGTGGAGTGAACGCCCAGCTGCATAGACAGACACGGGTTTTCTTGGTAAACGGACCCCAAGGACCCCAGGGCAATCCTTTTTCGCTTCTGACCTTCCAGCAAACAAATACCACTTTCTTCTATCACTAAACTAACCCTTAAATTTATTATTTCCTTATAACAAATTTTTTATTTATACAAATGTATTTATAAATTTATTTATTGCCTTTTGGTGATAAATATAAAGCGGGCAGAACTTGATTATAATACTGCAATTAGAATTCTGGCATCAATGCTGTGTTTTTAGCTTCTAGTTATATGTTACTAACGGATTTTAAGTCTTGTCCTGTGTCTGGGCAGTCCAGCCTCATCTCTCTGGCCACTTTTTTAGAAAAGCTGGGATTATACCAGCTGGCTCCATAAAGAGGGCCACCTCCTAGGAGGAGCCTGGGACCCAGGACATGGACAGGCACCAACTGCTCAGGCTAGACAGCATTTCTCAACCTCAGCGGTACTGATATTTTGGGCTGGATCCTTCTTTGTTGTGATGGGGCTGTCCTGTTCATTGTAGGATGTCAAGCACCATCCCTGCCCTCTATCTTCTAGATGCATAGTCTTGATAATCAACAATGTCTCTAGACATTGCTAAATGTCCCCAGGGGAGCAAAGTCATCCCCAATTGAGAACCGCTGAGCTGTAACTCCCTCAACCTGCCTCCACCAGATGAGGAAGGACCCATTCTCTGGGGCCACAGGCTGTTAGAACTTCCCCCATTTGCGTCAGCATATGCCATATTCTGCCTGTAGTGGTGAGAAAGTGGGACCCTTACCTCCCTTCCCTGGTTAGGGGTCTTCCTCTTTCTTCTCTGCTGGATCCCTAGGCAATGAGACTATTAAAGGTTGCTTATTTTTAACCTACATCTTGTGTGTCCGCCCACTCTTCTGGAAGGAGAGAAATCCTGCTTCTAGGTCTATGCCTGAAACCAAAAAGCTTATCCTTAAAGTGACCAAAACACAGACAGACACACCCAAATACACACAGTTAATTTACCTATGTACATATACAAGCACAGATACAGACTCGGGTGTGCACAGAGAAGGAATCAAACAAATCATACATACACCCCCTAGACTCAGGCCTACGTGTACATAACCCACACGTAGCCAAGGACATTCCCAAGTGGTCACCATTCATCCATCCTCAACACTGATCTACACGACTGTCTTCCCAGTTAGCCTGAGGGCACAAATCATACAGCCTTGCTCATGGCTATGTCTCCAGGGCTGGACCTAGTGCCAGGCATGTAGTGGGAGTGAGTAATTTTTTCTCAATTTTTAAAAAAATTGTGGTAAAATACATATAATGAGCCAGTAACTATTTGAATGGTGAATGAATGACCAAGTGGCAGACCTAGGTGGGACAAACTCAGAGCATCGAGAGCCTCCGGACTGCCTGGGTTTGAATTCTAACTCTACCACTCAGTAGCTGTGTGACTTTGTTCCCTTTTTTTTTTCAATTTCTTTCTGACTGATTTCTTGGCCTCTCGCCCCCACGCTTTTTAGGATTTACCAATGACCTCGAGTATTAAAACACTCAGAATTCTGGCATCACTTTTCTAGGTCATTTTTCTCCAGGATTTCTGTTCCTCACATTCTGGATGCCTTACTACTTCTAAAAACAAATAGACCTTGTTCTATTTTTGTCTTAGCACTTATTGCTACAGGAATTACCCTGTTCATTTTTCTGTTTCTTGTTTATTGTCTCTTCTCCACCTCATATAAGCCCTATTAAAGTGGAAACTCGTCTGTTTTGGTCATCACTGTATCCTCAGGCCCGGCCTAGTACTTAGTACACAGTAGGTGCTCAATAATAAATAATGAATTAATGAGTATCAGAGTTGATCAAGCGCTAAACCTGGGGCTCTCTGACCAGCTGTTTTGGAGGGAAGAGGAGGCCTGAGTAGGAGTAGGCCCTGCTCTTATCAGCTCTCTGTCCTGAGTCCTGGATAAGGTTCCAGGGGGGCCCACCAAACACAGGGGCAGAGCACTCTACCAAGTGCTTCCACACTGTCATCTCATTTGAAACTCACAATACCTTGGGGGACAATCAGGACAAGGATTACTGCCCCCAGGACTCCCAGCATAATTGAGAATTTCAAGGCTTAGAAGAGTACGTTCTTCACTAAAGATGGCCTTGCTCCAGGGAGAAGAATGCTGACAGCCATTTGTGCCTGGTCCATCCAAATCTGGACGCTGGGCCCACCTGTCCATTAGAGACCGGCTCCCCACTGGTCCCACACTGTGGCCCCAGGTCCATCTTGAGAAGTGGGCTTGGAGGGCTCCTCATTACACACAGTGCAACATCTGGGCCTCTGGACGTAGTGTTCAAGGCTCCTCTTGGTCCCTCCCTCTCCTCTTCAGCTTCATCCTTCCACCACTTGGCCTCATGCTTTATACTCCAGGAATGACTGCTTGAAGTCCCCCACCCCTCCACCACCCTCCTTGCTGTTCGCTTCTGAGCCTTGGCATGGACAGTTCTCTTTGTCCGGAATGTTCTTCTTGGCCTTGCTAAAACTCACTCTTGTTTCAAAGACTCACCCAAGCACACTTCCTCTCTGAAGTCCTGTCCGAGCTGAGATTCCTTCTTGGTAAGGAGGGAGCAATTAGCCTGGATGACTCTTCTATCTCAGCCTGAGCAGCCATCTTAGGAGTTTGCCCCGAGCAGACCACGGACAGACGGGCGGTTCTCCCCCAGGCTCTGTGCTGTCTAGCGCGGTGTGACCCCGCGCAAATGCCTTCCCTCTTTGAGCTTTAGTGTCATCTCTAAAGGATGATCTGTGTAAGGTCCCCGTGCATCTTAAACGAGAACTCCCTCTGCACTGCACATTCATTGTCCTCACTGAACTCTATCAGCAACTCCCAGACGCGGAAACTAGGGACAGGAGAGACAAAGGCCGCAGGATGCAAGAGTTCCTATTCCCACCCATGCATGACAAAGGCTGGGCCGGGGCATCCAGCCCCTGGGAGAGGTCCGACCCCGCAGCCCAAAGTCGCTGGGAGGGAAATCGGCGCCGGCTGCGAGAGTTTCGGGTTTCACTGAGCGCGGGGGCTGTGCCACGTAGTCGCGGGCCAGACCGGCGCAAGACCTGGGGGCGCCGCGCCGCGGGGGGATGCCGGGGACGGAGGAGGGGGGCGCCAGTGCAGGGTTGCCGGGCGGCCCGAGCCCCCTCGGAGCCATACCCGGCAGGGTCCCGGGCCGCGGGGCGCCCCCATCAGGCCCGGCCAGGGCGGCGCCGAGGCCGCGCGGGCGGACACTCACCGACCCGCGGTACTTCTCCAGCGACACCAGCTTGCCCCGGATGTTGACCGCCTTGAAATCGTAGAAGTCCTGCTCCCGCTGCGCGCCGGCCGCGACCGCCAGGAGCAGCCACGCCGCCACCAGTGCAGCCACCATGACTCGCTCCCGGGGTGGCGGCGTCGCGAGGGCAAAGACGGGGCGGGGGGACCCGGCGCGGGGGGCGGGAGGGGGCGGCCCCGGCGCCAGGCGGCCCGCGAGGCAGGACGCGCCCCCTTCCCTTTCTCCGCGGGCGGTGGAGCGCCAGGCTCGGGACCTCAGTTTCCCCATCTTTACTGCGGGAACGTGGGCCTCCGCGCCCCTTCCGGGACGCGAGAGCCATGGTTCCAGGATTCTGACCACTGAGACCAGAATTCGCGCCAGTGAGGCTCCCTCTTGTTCCAGGATGCGGCGACTTAGTAGCGAAAGGGAGGTGAAAATATGGATCTGAGAGTTGAGCTTCTAATTAGCTCAGTGGCCTTAGGCTGGTCACTCCACCTCTCTGGACTTTAGTTTCTCCATCTGTTCAGTGCGTCAGCCTCCCTTCCTGACGCACCTAGACAGTATAGAGTGGGAGTAATCGAAAAATAGATGCGAAACTTTGTCGGCTGAATGGTGCCTGCAAACTTTAGATGAATGAGTGAACGTTCCCTCAAAGGGGTGGCACGGAGAAGGCGAAGAGAGGACGGAGGGCCTGTTGCAGGTTGGGTTCCTGGGAAGCAGATTCCGAGACGGAGATTGCAGCACAGGATGTTTATGAGGCAGCACTCTTGGGATCAAGACCTGTGGAAGGGAGACGAGGGGGCAGGAGCGGGCAGGAGTCCAGAGCTCCATGCAGGCGGAGGGACAGTCTTGGCTGACCCCACAGGGACCCTGGAGCGGGAAAGACCCATCAGAGTTGTCCCCGATGAGCTAAAATGGCCAGGCCAGCCTTTATATCCCTGCCTTCATCAGCCATCGGATGTGGGGCCTTCTGGGAAGAGGCAGGACAGGAGCCAAGGTGGCTCTGTCCCTGGAGGGGCTGACAGTTAAAAGCTTTCCATGGACAGCACACCCAGCAGCAGTGTCCCAAGTCCACTGCTGGGGGTTCTGGACAGCACATCACAGTGTCTCCCACACTCCGAAAACTCCTCCTGAGTCCCGCCAAGTGCCAAGCACGGTGCTGGGTGCTGATGCCGTACTACTTCTCTAGGAGCTCACAGGCTGGGGTGAGAGAAGCCAAGTAAACTGGAGGTTTCATGTAATGCTGGAAGGGCTAAACATTCCTACAGTCATTCAACAAACGCTTCTTGAGCACCTGTTCTCTGCTAAGTTCTGCTCTAGGTGCCTCTTATGCAGTGATGAACAAGACAGTGTGGTCCCTACCCAGGGGGAGACAGGTATTAAATAGTTCATAATCAGCTCTAAAATTACTATTGTGGTGAGTACCACCTAAACTAGCCTGGGGTGAGGGGTGGGGTGGAAGGAGGGCTTCCCAGAGGATGGAAGGTTTGAGCTCAGCTCTGAAGAATGAGTAGAAAGTAGCCAAGTTGAAGTGAGGAAGCAAGTGCAAATGTCCGGATGGAGAGAGAAACATGGTGCATTGAGAAACAAAGAAGGCCAGTTTGGCTGGAGCAGAGAGAGCAAAGCGCGAGAGAAGGTGGAGAGGCAGGCGGGTGTCAGCGGTGGGGTGGCACACAGAACCTGGTAGGCCACAATAAAGATTATGGTCTTTAAGCCAAGAAATGAAGGTTCTGTTTTTTAAAGCAGAGAAGTGTCAGTGAGTCCTCTGAAAGATCCCTCTGGCTGTTCTGTAAAGAGTGGACAGGAAGAGGCAAGAGCAGATGTGCTCCAGATGCTGGGGTAGACGAAGCTCCAGGGTTTTGAGGCCCAGAGGCAGTTGCTAACCTAGCAGTCATGAAAAGCCTCCTGAAAGTGGTAACACCAGAGTCATGTCTTAAAAGAGAAATGGGAATTCTCTAGTTGGGGAAGGCGGAAGGTAAAGATGTCAGACTGAAGATGTCTGTGAAGGCACAGAGCTGGAGAGAAGAGATCGGCTGTCTGGAGTGAGAAGCGGTATGAGGTAGATGAGGCTGGAGGGATCATCAGGGGCCAGATGGAGAACAGTCTTGGATGCCAAGCTGTGGGGACCTGGAATTGGCGACCCCAAGATATGTCTCTTTGGCATCAGGATTATTTGAGGCTGATTGCTTTTGATAAACTGGGACAGGGAAGGAGGCTCTGAGGAGTGGAACTTGCCCTTTGTTAGGACACGTTTACATTTGTAAGGTAAATCTCTATCTGTAAAAGGTGCCTCCCTCTCTGTACCAGGAAGAAGAAAGGAGATGACCTTCTCTCTAAAAACTCGTAATCAATACCAAAGGCAAGGACTTAAATCTGCATTTTATTGTGCTAGTCTGGTAACCTCCTGTAACTGACTTCCCTCCCCCTCCCAACGCTGGCATCTCCTTAAAGATTAAGCATCTTTCTTTAGGCTGGGAACTGATTGCGGCGCTCATCTGTGACCCCCCAGCCCGAGGTAACACACCTGCCACCCTCGGCACTCACTGAGACAGCAGACCTATCTGCCATTTCCATCAAGAGCTGTGCTGACAGAGCAACCTCGTGACTATTGTAAAAGGGACATTTCAATCACATGCGAAACACCCTGTTTGGGGGTATATATCCACTATGTGCACCCCACTTCTTCGGTGTCCTTTCTTCCTTCGGGAAGGAAGGAATCACTCAGATATCATTCCCCCTCTGCTGCTACACTTGATCACTCCCCGCTCTCTATTGCCTTTGTCCCCAGTACATTTTCCTGTAGTGGGCAGATGATAACATTGTTTGCGTGGCCATCTTCCCCCAGCAGACTGGAGCTCTAAGGGCAGGCAAACCTGTGTCTGATCATCTTTGCGTCCTCTGGGACACACTGGCCACTCAGTAAATAATCATTTTTCTTAAATCTTCTAGTGATTTTATTACTTGTCTATGCTGGATTCTCATGTGAGGCACTGTTGATTTTAGCCAACAGTATATATTTTTTCAGCCCGCTATATTTTATTTTCAGTCCACTATGAATTTTTGGTGTTTCTGAAAGAGCACAGCTATTTCCAGGTGGTCCGTCTACACAAATGGGAGACCCACAGGCACAGACAAACACACACAGTTTTCAGCTGAGCATCTGGAAGGGTAGAGGACTCATTCCTGCATCCCCTGTACTCCCCCTTCCCAGAATAAACTCAAAGAAGCTTTTTCTGGGTGTTTAGAATACTCATTAATGCTTTGTTTATTCAACAAATTGTTGAGCACCTACTATATACGAGACACTATTTTAAGGGCTAGGAATATAGTAGCTAATAAGACAGACAAAAAATTCTTGAACTTACATTCTGGGGACGGGAGGATAATAACTAATATTTAAAATATAAAACATATGGTACATTAGATGGTGATAAGCAGGGGAGAGGGATAGAGAATGTGGTGTTGGCGTGGGGAGGGGTTGCAACTTTAATTTGAATGATCAGGAAGCCTCACTGGGAAAGTGGCATTCCGGCAAAGACCAGAAGAAAGAGCACAAACTATGGGGAAAACTGGGAGAAGAGAAACGTTCCAGGAAATAGCAAAGGCCCTGAGACAAGCGTGTGTATGATGTGTTTGGAGAACAGCAAAGAGGCCAGTGTAGATGGAGTGGAGTGAGCGATGGGAAGAGAAGCAAGGGATGACATCAGAGAGGGAGTGGGATGGAGAGGTAGATACTGTAGGGTCTTAGGAGCCTTTGTAGAGACATTTGCTTGGACTCTCAGTGAGATGGGAAGCCACTGAAGGGTTTTAAGCAGGGGAATGACATTTCTAATTTATATTTTAACAGAATCACTCTGACTGCAGTGTTGAAATAAGGAGACCATTGAGGAAGCTATTGTAGTAATCCACGTGAGGGAACGTGTAGGCTTAGACCAAAGCAGTAGCAGTGGAGGTAGTGAGAAGTAGTCAGATTCTGAATATATTTTGAGAGTAGAGGCAAAAGAATTCCTGATAGGTTGGATATAGGGTATAAGAGAAAGAGAAGAGTCACAGATGACTTTAAGGTTTTTGCCCAGAGCAACTGGAAAAATGAAGTGGCCGTTACAGTCATGCATTGGGATATGTTCTGAGAAATGTGTCATTAGGTGATTTCGTCGTTGTGCGAACATCATAGAGTGTACTTACACAAACCTAGATGGTATTACCTACTACACACATAGGCTATATGTACTTATATTATGGGACCACTGTTGTATGTGTGGCCCTTGTCTGAACCGTTATTATGCGGCACATGACTGTAATTAAGATGAAGATGCCTGAAGGGGCATCTGGTTTGGAATAGGAAATCCAGAGGTCAAGTTTTGGATATGTTAAGTTTAGTCGCCTATTAGCAGTGGTATGCTGGTAAATGTTTAACAACTGATTCTCAGGGAAGAAAGTTGTATGTGTGTGTGTGTACCCATATATATAAGTTCATTATAAAGTTTACCGATATCAATGATGCATAGCACACAATTCACAAATAATAAAATATACAATACTTTTTGTTGTAAATTCTTCATGGCCAATTTATTCTCACAGAATGCTTTCGATGATTTTTGCCAAATTTGTATCTGTAGCAAACTAATGGTTGCAATTGCTGAACAAGCAGAGTTCCAAGATAAGTGTTGGTTGATATATTCATTTACATCAACAGTAAGATGAAAGTGAAACAATAAAGACATATGTCAGAACTTCACTAGTCAATGACACAAAGTTGCTTCTTTGCTGAATTGGATAGTAGTTTTCCAATACTGGAAGAATATTTCCTCAAGTCATTTATGTTACTCACAATGTAATAGCTATAGAAACCATACCCTCTAAATTTAATCTGCATTATTAATATTTTTTGCATTACTTTCTTAATCTGGACAATCAGCAAAACAATAAATCAAACTCTGGTTAGTAGAATTTGCCAATATCCGTGGTATAGCACTCCCCCACGGTTGGTTTTGAGCTACCTACATGATGTCTCCGAACACGGAGTTAGGAAGACATGCAAGAGTAGCACACCGTTATATAGTATTTCCACAATACAGATAGAGGAGAGGCAAATAATCCAAACAGCATAGAAAATAATAAAATATAGTAAAATAATTAGAAAGTGATGAGTTTTGTATATTACCTTTG